AGTTTGCACACCATGTGCTCTTTACCCTTTTCTATGAACCCCATTGGTTGGTCCATGTACACATCTTCATCTAAATTTCCATTTAGAAAGGCGGTTTTCACATCCATTTGGTGTAACTCTAGATCATAATGAGCCACCAATGCCATAATAATTCTTAAAGAATCCTTCTTTGAAACTGGTGAAAAAGTTTCTTTATAGTCATTGCCATCTTTCTGAGTGAATCCCTTTGCAACTAGTCTGGCCTTGTAACGTTCTAAGTTACCATAAGAGTCACGTTTGGTCTTAAAGACCCATTTACAACTAACTCTCTTGCACCCTTCTGGTAACTCAACAAGATCCCAGACCTTATTCTGTTCCATAGATTTCAACTCATCTTTCATAGCATCTAACCACTTATCACCATTTTCACCATTCATGGCTTGTGAAAACGTTACTGGATCATCCTGAATACCCATGTCAAATTCAGACTCTTGTAGATATACCACATAATCATTAGAAATAGCAGGTCTCCTTTCTCTTTGAGATCTTCTTAATGCTATTTGTTGTGGTTCTTCTACTATGGGTTCATTCAGTTCATCAACAATGATTTCTTCATGAATAGTGGGATCATTAACTTGTCCTTCATTATTATTGATTGGTTCAATAGCATAAGGAACAATAACTTTACTAGAGCTACAAGGTAATGGAACTTGTACTCTCACTTCATGAATATCCACTTTACGTGGTGTTTCATTCCCACTAACTTCACCATTCTCAATGAACCTTGCATTTCCAGATTCAATAATCCTTGTAGTATGATAAGGACAGTAAAATCTATACCCTTTCGATTTTTCTGGATAACCAATGAAATAACCACTGATTGTCCTTGCATCCAGTTTCTTTTCTTGCGGATTGTAGTATCTAATCTCTGCCTGACAACCCCAAACATGCAGGTGTCTTATACTAGGTTTCCTTCCAGTCCAAAGTTCAAAAGGAGTCTTTGGAACTGACTTACTAGGAACCCTATTCAATACGTACATGGCAGTTTTTAGAGCATAAGTCCACAATGAAACAGGTAAAGAAGAATTACTTAACATACTCCTAACCATATCCAGTAAGGTCCTATTACGCCTTTCTGATACACCATTCTGTTGCGGTGTACCGGGCATTGTGTATTGAGCACAAATACCACGCTTTTTCAGAAATTTAGCAAATGGGCCCGGATGTTGTCCACTTTCATCATACCTTCCATAATATTCACCACCCTATCAGACCTGACAATCTTCACCTTTCTGTCTAATTGCCTTTCAACTTCATTAATATAAATCTCCAAAGCATTTGCAGCTTGAGACTTATCATGCAGCAAATAGACATAACCATAACGTGAATAATCATCAATGAAAGTGATAAAATATTTTTCTTTATTGAAAACATTAACATCAAACGGACCACATACATCAGTGTGTATAATTTCAAGAAGCTGAGTGCTCTTTGTGGCTCCTTTCTTTGTGTGTTTTGTTTGTTTTCCTTTAATACAATCCACACAAACATTTAAATCAGTAAAGTCTAAATCCGGAAGGATTTCATTATTTACCAATCTTTTCATCCTTTCTTTGGAAATATGTCCCAAACGTTTGTGCCACAAGTAAGCGGAACACTCATTAATTAAGGTACGTTTAGTACCAACATTATGATGCAGAGTCATAAGCGTTTCAGCATAAAGATTATCAAGACATAATTTATATAATCCATCACATAAAGTACCATTACCAATCAAATGATTGTGCTTGTACAAACTGAAACTACCACTACCAAATTTAAAAGAGTAACCAGCAACATCAAGTTTGGAAATTGAAACCAAATTCCTAGATATACTAGGTACATAAAGAGTTTCACATAAATCCAAATGAAATCCACTGTCGAGAATTAAACGGTAAGTCCCAACAGCTTCCACCGGAACTTTCACTCTATTGCCCATAAGGACAAACTTTTCATTTGGCTTTGTGGTTTGGGTCATAAGAAATCCCTGCATTGTATTAGAAACATGAGTAGTACAACCAGAATCAATCCACCAAGTATTATAAGGAACTTCAGCCAGGTTTGATTCATAACATACATAAGCACTAGGCTTACCTTTCTTTTCAAACCAAGCCTTACGTTTCAGGCAATCCTTTTTGAAATGCCCTTCCTTTTTACAGAAATGGCACCTCATCTTTGCATTACTTTCCTTTTTGTGGATTTTAGAAGAAGAGGCCTCATTCACTTTAATGGGTCCTCCTCCTCCTCTTTTCTTCTCATGCTTCTTTCCTTCCATAATTGATGGAATGAGCTCCCTGATTCTTAAGTCTGGTTTCCTCCTGAACTAACATACTGTGCAATTCATGCACATTCCATTTGTCTTTCATGGTATTATAGTTCATTTGGAAAGGACCATACTCAGACGGTAATGAGTTCAATACGAACTGCACCAGGAAGTTCTCATCCACAACCATTTCCAATGCTTTCAATTTTTCCGCAATGCTTGTCATTTCAATAACATGCTCATGCATAGTACGCGAACCATCAAACTTCATGGTGGTCAGTGTACTCATAAGTGTCCCAGCAAGAGACTTATCAGCGGTTTGGGAGCGCTCTTCCACAAGTTTCATCATTTCGATGGCACTTTCAGTTTGTGGAAGAGCTGACTTAATGTTGCTTGCTATGCTCATTTTCATGTACATCAAACTTAATCTGTTGGATCTTTCCCAGTTCTTAAAATGGTCCCTTTCATCCTCAGTGCTTTCAGGAGTAATAGAACCAGGTTCCTCTTCTCTAAGAGCCATATCCATATCCATTACCCCAAGGTAAAATTGGATTTGCTCTTTTCATTCAGAGAAGTTCAACCATTAAAAACTGTAACAGTTGAGAACATGAAATGTGTAGCAACAGGTACTGCAAGGAATAATATTTAAACATTAATGCTTTGAGTCATACATGTCACATACTAATATACTTCACAGATTCAACTATACTAACTTCAATGCATATCAATGTTCGCCTTTGGGGATCCATTAACATACAACATTAACTATAATGATGCTATATAAATTTCACATAATTTGGCAATGATGCATACCCCTATCATAATTATTTGTCATATTTGGATGCACTACAAAAAATACGGTATTATGCCACATCTAGTTAACCACATTAAATGAATTGTTGCGAATATTAAAGAGAATCCCAAATATGCTACACAATAAAATAAATGTAGCAAAATAACGCGTCTTTCTCGATCTAATCTCTCGATTTTTTCTTTCTTATTTTTTTTGATGCATTTTTCATTCTTATTTTAGTTTCTCCAAATGTACAGGTGTATTCTACTTTATTTTATTTTTTCATCTTTCTCTCTCTAAAATTAAAATAAATTTTTATATTCTTTTTTGAATTTGAAATTAATTCACAATTCTATCTCTCCACCTTTCTCTTTCATGGACGGTGAGTGCAGAAGAGCGTCACGAAGGTGGAGGAGGGTTCAACAAGTTCCAAAAATGACTGTTTCGAAGGACCTAAGCGACGTTGCTCGATCTGCCACCGACAACGCTGAGGAACCCTAGCAAGAACAACAATTGGCTCTTGAAGCTCGTCAATCCTGCGCAGAGGCTCATCGCTTCAAGCGCCCACAAACTCCTTGTTTAGGTTTCATTTTTTTTAAATCAAATTACAGATTCATTTTAATTTAAGCAAGTTTCTTTGATTTTTAGTTTTTTTAATTATTTCTTTTAGCGAATTGCTGGTTTTGTTTTTCAAAATATTTTTGTTGGTTAGGGAATTTAATCTCTTCTTGGTTTGTGAACTTGTACAGATAATGGATTTAGCATTATTAGGTCTGATAATTTTTTTTTTTACCATTTATTGGAAATGCTGGACATTGGTTCAGATGATTTCAAAGCAAAAAAGCTTATTTGTACATAGTGAATGCAACTAACATTACTGTTAAGTCGGATCTTCACTCTTTGAGACTGAAGACCCAATCTATTTAGTTGTCTTATTCCATGCATCATGCCATTAGTGGCAATATTACTGCAATATTATAGCTCACCCATTATGGTTGGTTTCTACTAACATGGAAGGTTTGTATTAAAATATTTAGTTTTATAGCTTATTCATAGCTTTTGAGCTTTTCCTTGTTAAGTCTTTTTTGTGTTTGAGTTCGATGAAGGGTTTGAACCATTAAAGGGTTGTATTGTATATGCTGATGGGTTACTGCTTATTGGTTTAATATTTCATTCATTATATTATTTTTTATTATGTTTTATTTAGTGCTTGTGGAATATCAAGTTATGAGCAACTCTGTCTGTGTTATGGTCTTTTTTTTGGCTGTTTGTTCATTTGCTAGTCTATGTGTCATGGAGATCGAGGAAAGAAAATGAAAACAAATTAAAAAAATTGGATTCTAATTGAAACAGTTAATGACTTGGTAATATAAATATGCCATGCTATTGATAATAGTGGAAACTCAAAAGTCATGCAATAAAGTTTCAATAAGTCCATAATGTGAGCAAGTTAACTTTTAAGGATGAATTTTGTTATTTTCACAGAATATGTGATGACCATATAAGCTTTCCCATAATTGATTTTTTACTTCTATTGACTCTTATCTCATTACTTCGTGAATGTGTTATGTGCTTGCTTCCACTGCAGCCTCTTTAAGAAATATATATATATACATACCTACACACACACATATATATATATATATATATATTTATATATTCATATTACTATTGTTGACTTCTCCTCTATTGGTCTCTGAATGATTTCTTTAGTCGAATTGGGTTTTCTCTAATAAATCTTTTTTCTTCATCTGGCCATTACACCATTTCTAGCTGATACTTGTTTTTTTTTTTGGAAACAGATAAAAAAGGATAAAAAGAGGCTGCTCTTAATGGATAATCATAATCTTTATCCTTTGACATTGTTTTAAGCCAGAAGCAACTTCAAAGTTGAAATCGCTAGTCTGATGCTATGTGTTTAGTCATTGTGCTCTTACAAGTAGTCTCAATTTCATAACCATCGTATAAATATGGGAATGAGAAATTGGAAATGCGCATTAGATTTTACTTTTTTAATTGTATTCTGATGTAGAACTATATGGAATTTATTTCCGGTGTTTCCTCATATGTGATGCAGCTAAGAAAAATTTGGGGAGATGCATGCTAGACTATGGTGGGAAGAGAACCACGCCAAAATACATGAAAAATACTTGTGAGATTATAAAGGTATATATGGTTGTTGATGCTTTACAAAATGTGAAGGTGGTGTTGCTTATTATTTTGTTTAATCTCTGTTTTGCTATATAAAACCTCGTTATAGGCGATTAGATGTATATGTAGTCACTTCTTCCTATGTAAGCTAGCATCGGCTGTTTTGCTAGACTAAATTTTTTGTTTAATCTCTGTTTTGCTATAATATACTTGTTCAATTGCATTCAAGCATTCTTTTTCCTATGTATATGTGGTTACTTTTTCAAAGTCAGCCATGTTCACATAGTACCAGACATCATGTTGATGAAGGATAGGAGTTTGATGGAAAGGTCCTCTTTTGATGCAGTAATTTGATGGACTTGTTTTAAGAAATGTTAATTTGATGAGTCTTTCCTGTAGATTATCATATTAATGTATTCGCATATTAATTTTGGTTTCAGAAGCTAGACATATGTCCTATTCTTGTCCGGGTGTGTTACAATCCCAATCATGTAGATCTAGCGGCATTAAGGAATGGGAATTATATAAAGCTTGTAAATCTTGTCCCTTGGAAGGTAAATTTTGCTCTTTAATTTTTATTTAAGAATTTCTTTCTTGTTTTAATTTTGTAATTATCCATATTGTCAATCGATGGACTCTGGTGTAATAGCAGAGCACCAATTCTTGCTTTATTAGTAAAATTGTCTGAAGCATTACTTGGTGGGGTGTGTGCAAGTCTCAGATAGGCGTTGTTTCTATTAAATTACAAATAATGTACGAGACATTTCCTTATATTTGTTAGTATCAAGATCTTGTTTAAATTTCTATTACTTAGCAGTTCCTTGTACATAGGAAACGTGGATGTTTGGACAATAACAGAAATTCAATGTGATTGCATATGCTTTTTAATTTGTTTACTGACTATAAAAAGGTTATTTTTCTTTATTTTACAGGCTTATGAGAGTCTCTGTGATGGCCTGGGAAAATCTGCTGCTGTGTTAGTTCAGAACCCCTTGAAAAAATACAAGCGTGGTTCAGGTGCAGGACCTGCCTTGGCAGCTGCTTTTCGAGGACTTCCTACAGCTGCCATGGCTCCTGCGTCTGCTTGTGCAAGTGTTGTACACTATACTCTTCTTGGATTCAGAAATAGGTCTATGATAAAGTTGACTTGATTTTGAATGATTCATTTCTGGATTGACAAAGTCCTGTTTTGTACCTCTTGAATTCTCTGGAACTAGATATAATGAAGTTTTTTTTTCCCCTTCCCTTTTGTAGCCTTGATCCTGAACGTAAAAAGGAGTCCATGGAAAAATATTGTCCAACACAACCCTGGGAAGAAGACTGATTAATGGTGCACTTGTGGCATATTACTTTGTTGTTGTACTAAAATGGCATTACAATTGGAGCTCTTTTTAATCGGCAGCGCAGTCTCTCAAGTATCATGTGAGTTGAGCCTTCTTTGTTAGTAGAAGATGGAGAATAATGCTCTCTATCAATTGAAGTTTTATTTTAGTAGACTTTATCAATTGAAGTTAAGAGGATGAGAATAATGCTCTGAAAATAAATAAAATAAAGAAAATAACAGGTGCATCTTCTAATTTCTTCTTGTACATATTTGTATATTAATACTATATTAACATAATATGAAATTGATTTGTGCAGGTGTGATCTGGTAGATGGCATTTCAAAAGACTAGGATGGCATACAAGAACAAGTTCTAAATATGAAAAATTTGTACTACCGTACTTTTTTATGAATTGAGAAGATACTTTTTTGTATAGATGTCCCGTAAGTGAACTTTTTATTAGTTTTATTTGGCGATTTTTTCCCTCTATGATATTGGTAGAAAGTTTGATTAGCTTATATAAATTAAAAACATGATGACTTGTACAAATTAGTCAGTGATAATTGAATATAATGTTTGATGTTTGGTTCACATTTTAATTTGTTCACTAAATTGTGTTTGAGCTATTTTCAATATTATTTTCTTTATTATTGATATTTATCGAATTCATAATGTTTTTAATTTTAAAAAAGGAATTTTGTATATTTATGGTCATGAATGTGCCTAAAAAAAATTTAGGCACAATTAGCCACATTTTTCTATTGTGGCAAACAAAACAGTTTAACCACATTTATAAAGTGGCTAAATTAACAATAAATGTGGCTAAGAAAAGGCTACCACACTTGGTCATAATGTAGCAAAGTGAATAAAATAATGTGGCTAAATTATTGCAACACCACTTCTAGCCACATTTAATCAAAATGTGGTAAAATATGTTAGCCACATTTTTTATCAATGTTTGCCACATTTTTAAGTGTGGCTAATCAGCATTTTTTTTGTAGTGATGTCCAAATGTGAGAAAATATGCCAACAATACCAACATCTATGTTCATTTTATAAAACAAATAATCAACCTTTGGGTTGATCCCTAACTGTCCTATAATAATGAACTTCAATATACCACAACATGAATAATTATATCATACTATTCACAGCATCACAGTCATGGTAATTGAAATAAAATTCATAATATTTGAAATTAAAATAACTCTTCAAGATTTGGTCACTTTGGTGACTAACAAATCTACTATAATTAATTTCAAAATTTTAATATTTCATGAACAATAATAGAATTAAATTTTCACATTTAATTTTAATCCAACCACATCACATAATCAAATTCACAGTTTAGCAAAATGGCCACCGAAAATAACCAGTGATATTACAGTGCAAAATGGAAAACCGAATGGCATTAAAAAATAATAATAATAAAGATAAAAATAAAAATTCATACTGTGCGTATCATTCAATAATCCATTCTTTCCAACGCACAGTGACATCCATGAACGCGAAAAATCGAGAAGCAAAATTCATCAGAATGCTTTGTTAATTGATTTCAAATGCTTATTATGAAATCCAACATTGATGCACGTTTACCGAAAAGCCATATCTTTCTCCAAATCAATATCAAATACCGATCTTTATCCATAAAAACTTGAAACGAGACACACGGTTATAAATTTCAATGGCTTTGTCCATGGACACAAAAACCGAGAAATATCAATGAAAGTATTTCAATGCTTTCTCCATTATCAGCGTCAAATGAAAATTAACCCATCATAATATATGTAAGAAAGCCTTACATTATTCAAAGGCTATTCCATGATATCGTGAGTTTTCAATAATAATCGTGAATTTTATTTTCAATGATCGTTATCGAGAAGTACCTTTAATATTTTATTTTCAAAACTCTAACTTTTCATGAATCAGAAATTCATTCATAATTATTTATGGAAAAAACATATATTCTTAAACACATGCTCTAATACCACATGTTAGTAATTTTATTAGTAAATCAATAATACATGTTCAACAATGCTCATTCAAGAACATGATACATGATCTTTAGAATTCATGGTTTTCACATAAGGGTGTACCTTTCTCTATTAGTGCGGAAGAACTTTGATGGTGGAATGTCTTTCTCAGAGTCTTGACCTTTTTCCCTACTTGTATCTTCTTTGACAGTGATTGGATACAACTATGATGGGCAGACAATGAAGGAGAATTTCTCTGAAGATACAGTTCTCAGAAAACTACCAAAAACTCTTATAATAACTGAATCTGTCACTAGTTATTTATTCATAAATAACTTCCCAACCCCCTTAAACCGTCAATTACCGTTATGTCCCTTTTATTAATTAAACCAACTGACACATAATATTACACATGAGACAAATAGTTTTACATTAAGTTTCCCCGGCTTCCATTAAGAAAGACTATCTAATTAATTTAACCCCTAAATGTTGAGTTACAGAACTTTAACTGGATCAAATTCAATAACTACATCGAATTCATAGTACATTCAAAGTACAATTACCCACATTATGGCTAAAAACAACATGCACATTAAAAACACTACTCAGTTCATCTTAAGATACATGCTTCCAAGCTAGGAACACATTTAAACAACCTTTATTATTGATATAACCGAAACAGAATAGCCACAAAATACACAAATACAATTCAAGCTTGCTTTTCTTGCTGTTTTCTGAGACTTTGATTTTCTGCTGCAATCTGAGTCCTGGATCTGGAAATTGATAAAACATTCATATGAAAAAAAATGAGTTTCTCAACTCAATAGATAATCAAAGAATATATATAAAAAAATTACCAAAGAATATATATATATATGAGTAGTTTCAGTTTAAGAAAAACAATAATATAATCTCGAGATTCTGAGTAATCTATAAAACCATCCATGCAATATTACATATAAAAAATTCTAACACAATAATGTTCAACTTAATTGCACATGCAACAAAGATTTATTAACTATTTATCTTGGAAAATTTTGCCACTTGAAACTCTACCCAGCTAATTCGGTTCGAGATCCAACCGATATAGGAGGTGACTTTTCTTAAATTTTCTATATCATTCTGCGGCCTGGTTGGGTAGAGAGATAAGGGAGTCACTCTCCCATGTTCTCCCACCCAACCTTAATTAATTTAATTAAATGTATTTTACTAAGTTCTATGAATCTTTAACTACATTAATTAAAGTATTCCAATGAGGTCTAAGTTAGTTTAAGGCAACTTAAAGAACAAACCATCTCAGTTTGCTTAAGAAAAGTCTTTGTCCTCATTCTACTAGCATGTGCTCAGAATTTTCCACCAGTTAGTTGTGACTTGTGATTAACTTTTCTTTACTTTTTATCGAGCAATACAAAATTTATTTCTCTTACTTAATTTGCCTTTAAAAGAAACTATTATTATTATTATTATTATCATTATTTTTCCCTATCATACTTGTTTGCTAATTTTTATATTAATTTCCCCTTATATTACATGCATATCAAACTTAAAAGCTTAGTACATCAATAAAAAATTTCATAGTAATTCTATAAAAAGAAAGGTTATACTTATAATCTATTTTCATTTACAATCTCTTACAATCATATTTTAACCGTTCATTTCCGTCAAGCAATGATTATTATTTTCGCAAATCAAAATCATTAATTAATTATTAATTAGCAATAAATAATAACCGTTGATTGATAGAAATCAACGGTTAAGATATGATTGTAAGGGATTGTAAACAAAAATAGGTTATAAGTATAACCTTCCTCTCCTATAAAATAGAATAATTTTGAAGATCAGATTGAGATGTTACAAGCAAGATCAATATTTTCTTATAATAATAATGAGTTCGCTTTTTCTGCAGTTACTGCAGATAAGTTATCTGCAGTAAGTCCAATACGACATCGTTTTGGGACGAAAATCATGGTATTTTTTATTTATTTCAGGGTTATAAAAATCTTTATATATAAATTTTTTAAGATTTCAATACCAAAATGACGTCGTTTTGGAAATAAATGCAGATAATTTATCTGCATAAAAATATTTTTCCCAATAATAATAATAATGAATAACGTATGTTTTATCTTTTTAAGAACAAAATTAGTAACAAAAACATGAGACTAAAGAATCAATATGATGTCATGCATGTATTTAAATTCACAAAATCTACATTTACTCAATATCTGATATAAACTAAAATCAAACAATTTAAAGGTTAAGTTGTTTAATAAAGTAATACCTATATAAAATATGCTTCCAATTTACCATAACTTGATGACATTCAGAGAAAGCGATTCATCTTTTCAACAATAAGGCATAAAGGTTATGAAGGGTTTGAAAATAAGCATGTCTCCATTTTCTGATGAAGAAAATGACACCACAGACACCCCAAAATGCAGAAGCAAATCCAACTCCCATGCCTAGTTCAAACGATGACCTAAAATCACCACTTTCTTCTTCTTCTTTTTCTTCCGTGGATTTTAAGCAGTTTTTTGGAAGAGGAGCCCCACAAAGTTGTGAATTGCCAATGTAACTAGATGCATTAAAACTCTGAAGCTGGGTGCCCGTAGGAATTTTTCCACTGAAATGATTGTAAGATAGATTCAAGAAACTCATGAATGATAAATTTGACATGCTTTGTGGAATTTCACCTGAAAGTAGGTTTCTTGAAAGGTCTAGTGATTCCAAACACCTCACATGTCCAATGTCACTTGGTATTTTTCCAATCAAATGATTATGTGACAAATTTAAAGACTGCAAAGTAATGAGTCTGAATAATTCTGAAGGGATTGATCCTGAGAGGTCATTACTTGAGAGGTCAACACTGTGCATAAACTTCAAAGCATGCCAATAGTTCAATTCTTGGCCTTTAACAAACAAGGGTAGATCCTCCAAGTTTGACCTTGCAGAAATTGGAGCCAAAAACCAATTACGAATGTAAGACATGAAAAGGGCTTCATCAACACTGTTTGAAACCATTGTTGTAATCTTATATAGGCATTTTGGTATTGGTCCTGAAAGTCTATTATTTGAAAGGTCAAGGACTAGAAGATTGGTAAGTTCACATATGTGTAATGGAATAGTGCCACTGAATTTATTTGATGGTAGCAAGAGTGCCATACTCAAGTTTGTAAACCAAATTGGTATATTTCCTGTGAACTGGTTGAAGCCTAAATCAAGGTACCACAAACTTTTGCAACTTTCAAGTGAAGTTGGTATATTGCCAAATAAACTATTGTTTCTAACTCTAAAGGTTTGAAGGTTGATCAATGAGCCAATAGAGCCAGGAATTTTACCAGTTAGATTATTGCTCCCCAAATTCACATGGAGCAAAGATTGCCATTTCATCCAACATTGATCAGGTAATTCTCCAGATAAAAGATTTTGAGACAAGTCCAAAACTGCCAAGTGTTGTTGTTGTTCCACTATCATGCTTTGACAGAAGAAAGAAAAAATAGGTCCAGAGAAGCTGTTGTTGGATATGTCAAAGAAGACGACTTTAGGAGATAAATGGGGTAACTTGCCACTGAAGTTATTCCATTTTAAATCAATTTGTGTGTTGTTAATCAATGCTGTGGATATGTCTCCATGGATTGAATTATTGGACAAAAAGAGATGGTCTATTTGTTTTACAAAGCTCCAGAAATACTCATCAACATTGAATGAAAGCCCTGAACTTGAAAGGTCTAGATAAAACAGAGATCTTTGTGAATAAATCCATGAAGGAAACTTAGGACCTAGCTTGCAATAGCTGAAACTAATCTTTTCAAGCTGGAAAGGGGGATTCCATTGGGATCCCAAATCAAAAACAAAATTAGATGAGTCAAGGCTCAAAGACCTCAAGTTTGAAAGTTTTGTGAAACTTTGTTCACTAAGGATGCCTGAAAAGGAATTAAACCCCATGGATAAAACCTCCAACTTTGATAGTTTCCCAATATCTCTTGGAAGACTACCATTCAAGTGATTGAAGCTAACATTTAAAGATCTCAATGATGATAGATTTCCAAAGGTTGAAGGAATGGGACCAGAAAATGAGTTGTTAGAAAGATCAAGTTCCTCTAAATTTTTGTATTGACCAATCCATTCAGGAATTAGTCCTTTTAGACCATTGTTTCTCAAAATTAAGGAGCTCAAATTTGAAGGGAAAGGGAGCATAGTCATATGTTGAAGCCAAAGAGTTTCATCTTTGAGAAATATACCACTAAGGTTCATATATTTCAAAGATGAAAGACTTGAAACCCATCTAAGACTCTCCATGTGGAGGTTATAATTCATTGATAAGTCCAAATATATAAGATTGGAGATATTTGAAGACTCATTTGGAAAATGAATAATAGCCTTAAAGTCATTAGAGCTCAAGTCCAAGAAGGTGAGGAATTCAAGTTTGAAGACAGAAAAGCTTATTTCACCCTCTAAACATTGAACATCACCAAATGGACAATGGAGGTCTAGCTTTGAGACTCTACCTGTGATGTTGTCACACTGAACACCGATCCATTTGCAGCAATCTTCTTCAGTGGACCAAGAGGAGAGTCTCTTCAAGGGATCTTTAATGCTTTGCTTAAATACTGAAAGTTCATGTTGGTCTTTTCCATTGCAAAAACTATGTCCCATGCGTAAATTGAGAGTGGTTGCATATAGAAACCACAACAAAATAGCTGCCATTTGTGAAGCAGAGGAAAACATGATCACTCACAAGTATTGAAATCTAAGTGTTTGCTTGCAGGTACTCTTGTGTTCAATCCTAAAGTAACATGAACAATATTAATAGTCTGAGCCACTGGCGAACTCACCTATGTGTCAGTTTGTGCAAGTGCAGACATAAACTTACACGCACAGAGATATATCCCTTTACTTTATATCCCTTACTTCATACAAATATACTGAAATTGGGTAGGTAGCGCGGCACGAGGAAGCAACCAGGTTTTGTCCGTATTCAGGTGACACATTGGACCATATTGTAAGTCATTAGCTTGTGCTATTTGACTCTCTCATTGGTATCTGACTATTAAATTAACAACAGAGGCTAGTCTTTTTGCACCGTCCTCCACCCTGGTTTTTCATTACGAGTGGATCCAGTGGAGACAAACTCTTTTTTGAATAATTAGTTAAGTCTCTTCTCTAGCCTATTTATATCGGGGGGTTAAATCCCATGAGCCATCATACTCGCGTTGCAAGAAGGCAGCCCATTTCTGAATAGGTGATATACCCTAGTATCTTGTTCCCTTGTTTCTTCCGGCTTTTCTTTGGTTTTGTAATGGCCCAACAAGATACACACAATCATAACTTTGATTTATTGTTTGTTTAGTATTTTATAATCATATATTCGTTATTTTAGATTTATCACCCCAATCTTATTATATATTTTTACATGAATTAGTTACTGAGTTAATTTCTGATTCTACTCTTTTGGTTTGATCGTGAGAATCTATTTGGTTATCATATGTGCGCCTGACACATATAATAAAGTTCTGTATAGTCAAAGTTTATATTTTAATTTGTATAGAACATTTATAGGTTTAAATTATGAAAAAAAAAACAAATATTATGTTGTAGGAAAAAATTTTAGGTCATGTTATAGAGATAATCAATCGTGGGATTCACTATTTTTAAAATAAAAGAAAAGTAAAAAAATTGATGGGTCCACTTTTGTGTTTGCGTAGAAAAATTGCTTGTCAAAAGGAAGAGAAAAACATTACCCATTAAATTCTAGAGTTACTCCATTATTTCTACAAGAAAGTTAGATATAACTTGATAACTCTAAATATACTTTGTTGAAAATTAAGTTTGTGAGGCTAACTTGTAAGAAAGATTAAATTTAGTATACGCATGGATTCACAATTGGATCACGACATCACCCACACCCTTAACAAAATCCAACACGCCATGAAGAAAAGGTCCCTCCACTTAAACGCAAGAGTTTTTCTACTCCAATATATCAAACCGCGTAATTCTCATGTCAGCCATTCTCACCATGGATTCTCCTTCCATCCGTAGATGAAGGTTCCAAGATCCCACATAATCAAGGAACTGACTCATATAGTTACAGTTCTATTACTTATTTGTTTAGCCAATTCTTCACGTTTGCAAGTTGGGTGACTATTAGATTTCCCATGATTCCGTTCAGTAAGACAACATAATTTAACCCATAAATGTTGACTTACAGAACATTAAGTTAGAAATATATAGGGATCAAATTCAATAATTAACTACATATAATTCAGAGTACGTTACATGTACTATTACCCATATTATGGCTAAAAACAACATGCAGATTAAAAACACTACTCAGTTCATCTTTAAGATACATGCTTCCAAGCTACAGACACATTTATACAACCTTTATTATTGATATAACCGAAACAAAATAGCCACAAAAAACATATAAATATTTAGAATTCAAGCTTGCTTTTCTTGCTGTTTTCTGAGACTTGGATTTTCTGCTGAAATCTAAGTCCTGGATCTGGAAATTGATAAAACATTCATATGAAAAAAAAATGAGTTTGTCAACTCAATAGATAATCAAAGAATATATATATATATGAGTAGTTTCAGTTAAGAAAAACAATAATATAATCTCGAGATTCTGAGTAATCTATAAAACCATCCATGCAATATTACATATAACAAATTCTAACACAATAATGTTCAACTTAAATTGCACATGCAACAAAGATTTATTAACTATTTATCTTAGAAAATTTTGCCACTTGACACTCTACCCTACTAATTCGATTCGAATTCGATCCAATTCATATAGGAGGTGACTTTCCCTAACTTATCTTCTGCATCATGTTGTGGCTTGGTGGAAAGTCATGGATAGAGGAGATAATTTCCCAGCGCCAACCTTACTCATTTAATTAATTAAATTAAATTATTTTTTTTTAAGCTCTATTAATCTTTCTACATTAATTAAAGTCTTATAAGGTCTAAGCTAGCTAGTTTAAGGCAACTTACAGAACTAACAATGAAATAAAATAACAATATAATGCAACTATGTTAAACTTAAAAACTTAGTACATCAATAAAAAATTTCTCATATTAATTCTATAGAATAGAATAATTTTGAAGATCATGTTGGGATGTTACAAGCAAGATCAATATTTTCTTATAGTAATAATAGTTAATGAAGTCTATTTTATCTTTTTAAGAACTAAATTAGTAACAAAAATATGAGACTAAAGAATCAATATGATGTAATGCATGCATATAAATTTCCAAAATCTACATTTACTCAATATATAGCATAAACTAAAAAAAAGAATTTAAGGATAAGTTGTTTAATAGATTAATACCTGTGCAAAATATGCCTTTCAATTACCATAACTAGATGCACATTCAGAGAAAGTGATTCATCTTTTCAACAATAATGGAATAAAGGTTATGGAGGGTATGAAAATAAGCATGCCTCCATCTTCTGATGAAGAAAAGGGCACAACAAACACCCCAAAATGCAGAAGCAAATCCAACTCCCATGCCTATTTCAAACCATGATCTAAAATCACCACTTTCTTCTTCTTCTTCGTCTTCTTGTTCTTCTTCTTGTTCTTCTTCCATGGATTTTAAGCAGTTTTTTGGAAGAGGAGCCCCACAAAGTTGTGAATTGCCAATGTAACTAGATGCATCAAAACTCTGAAGCTGGGTGCCCAGTGGAATTTTTCCATTGAAATCATTGTAAGATAGATTCAAGAAACTCATGAATGATAAATTTGACATGCTTAGTGGAATTTCACCTGAAAGTAGGTTTCTTGAAAGGTCTAGAGATTCCAAAAACCTCATATGTCCAATGTCACTTGATATTTTTCCAATCAAATGATTATATGACAAATTTAAAGACTGCAAAGCAATGAGTCTGAATAATTCAGAAGGGATTGATCCTGAAAGGTCATTACTTGAGAGGTCAACACTGTGCATAAACTTCAAAGCATGCCAATAGTTCAATTCTTGGCCTTTAACAAACAAGGGTAGATCCTCCAAATTTGATCTTACAGAAATTGGAGCCAAAAACCAATTATGAAAGTAAGACATGAAAAGGGCTTCATCAACACTGTTTGAAACCATTGTTGTAATCTTATATAAGCACTTTGGTATTGGTCCCGAAAGTCTATTATTTGAAAGGTCAAGGACTAGAAGATTGGAAAGTTCACATATATGTAATGGAATAGTGCCACTGAATTTATTTGATGGTAACAAGAGTGCCATACTCAAGTTTGTAAACCAATGTGGTATATTTCCTGTGAACTTGTTTAAGCCTAAATCAAGGTACCACAAACTTTTGCAACTTTTAAGTGAAGTTGGTATATTTCCAAATAAACTATTGTTTCTAACTCTAAAGGTTTGAAGTTTGATCAATGAGCCCACAGAATCAGGAATTTTACCAGTTAGATTATTGCTCCCCAAGTTCACATGGAGCAAAGATTGCCATTTCATCCAACATTCAGGTAATTCTCCAGATAAAAGATTGTGTGACATGTCCAAAACGTCCAAGAGTTGTTGTTGTTCCACTATCATGCTTTGACAGAAGAAAGAAAAAACAGGTCCTGAGAAGCTGTTGTTGGATATGTCAAAGAAGATGACTTTAGGAGATAAATGGGGTAACTTGCCACTGAAGTTATTCCATTTTAAATCAATTTGTGTGTTGTTAATCAATGCTGTGGATATGTCTCCATGGATTGAATTATTGGACAAAAAGAGATGGTCTATTTGTTTTAGAAAGCTCCAGAAATACTCATCAACATTGAATGAAAGCCCTGAACTTGAAAGGTCTAGATAAAACAGAGATCTTTGTGAATAAATCCATGAAGGAAACTTAGGACCTAGCTTGCAATAGCTGAAACTAATCTTTTCAAGCTGGAAAGGGGGTTTCCATTGGGACCCCAAATCAAAAACAAAATCAGATGAGTCAAGGCTCAAAGACTTCAAGTTTGAAAGTTTTGTGAAACTTTGTTCACTAAGGATGCCTGAAAAGGAATTAAACCCCATGGATAAAACCTCCAACTTTGATAGTTTCCCAATATCTCTTGGAAGGCTACCATTCAAGTGATTGATGCTAACATCTAAAGATCTCAATGATGACAGATTTCCAAAGGCTGAAGGAATGGGACCAGAAAATGAGTTGTTAGAAAGATCAAGCTCCTCTAAATGTTTGTATTGACCAATCCATTCAGGAATCAGTCCTTTTAGACCATTGTTTCTCAAAATTAAGGAGCTCAAATTTGAAGGGAAAGGGAGCATAGTCATATGTTGAAGCCAAAGAGTTTCATCTTTGAGAAAAACACCACTAAGGTTCATATATTTCAAAGATGAAAGACTTGAAACCCATCTAAGACTCTCCATGTGGAGGTTATAATTCATTGATAAGCCCAAATATATAAGATTGGATATATTTGAAGACCCATTTGGAAAATGAATAATAGCCTTAAAGTTATTAGAGCTCAAGTCCAAGAAGTTAAGGAATTCAAGTTTGAAGACAGAAAAGTTTATTTCACCCTCTAAACATTGAACATCACCAAGTGGACAATGGAGGTCTAGCTTTGAGACTCTACCTGTGATGTTGTCACACTGAACCCCAATCCATTTGCAGCAATCTTCTTCAGTGGACCAAGAGGAGAGTCTCTTCAAGGGATCATTAATGCTTTGCTTAAATATTGAAAGTTCATGTTGGTCTTTTCCATTGCAAAAACTTTGTCCCATGCGTAAATTGAGAGTGGTTGCATATAGAAACCACAACAAAATAGCTGCCATTTGTGAAGTAGAGGAAAACATGATCACTCACAAGTATTGAAATCTAAGTGTTTGCTTGTAGGTACTCTTGTGTTCAAACCTAAAGTAACATGAACAATATATAGTCTGATCACTCACAAGTTGAGGTGTGTCCAAACACTATAAATTTTTCCCTTGTGTAAACGACAAGTTCCACAAGAGTCCAAGACGATGATCTTTTTCATAGAGCAAGAAAATTGCTACTTCTCAACTTAAAGTGATTAATTATGTGGTTTCACACAGGAGTTATGCTTGGCATCTCAAAAGATTTGAAAGCTCGGCGAAACCTGACTTTTGTTAACTGCATTATAAGATTTCTTTTTAATTTCAATAAATTAAAAAAAAAAAAAAAAAAAAACTTAAAAGTGTAGTGACAAAAATGACAGCTACCCGGGCAAATGGGCAACATATATAAAAGCCAGGAGGAGTAACATCTTCCTTCACATAAAATCCATGACTATGTACTCCTCATTTGTCAGAATCAGGAAGTCATAATCACTTATAATGACAAGCGTAGACAGCTTTACAGTTAAATTTGTGACGATATGGAGAAAATATTGGGACATCAACCGTATTGCCCTATTTAACCAAAAAGTGTATCTGAATACCGCAGATTCTAAATATTTTTTTAAATTGTTAGGACACTGAAGTCGCTGAATGATGTAGCGACTATGAAAAGGACACATGATGCATTTTCGAGAGACGCTACATCACTCAGCTACTTCAGTGTTGTGATAGTTTATAAGAATATAAACGGATCAGTGGCATTGAGGTATATTTTTTGATTAAAGAGGGTATGGTATAGTTTTATTGCAGATGGCCCAAAGTAGCTTAATACTGGGTTTGCTTTTTGTAACACCCCGTTCTAGAACCGGTTTGTTAACATCGCATTATGATATTAAGCGCAGTTACAATCACATGGGTTCAATTAAAATTCGGATAAATTTTCATTTTAAAACGTACCGAACTTATAATACCCAATTTCGTGATCATAACCGTATTACCTTGCGGAAACAGATAAATTAAGCTTAACATCATGTTCATTTTCCATTTTTAAACCATTAATTTACTTCTTGTTTAGTTCAATACTTCTACTATATTGTAGGTTTCTTCATTAGCTACCCGTGGCTTCAAACCGTGCTCAAATCGGAGCACTGTAGTCCAAGTTAGGACAATTTGAAGCAACACAAGAGAGTGTTGGTCACAGGCCCAGCGCGCTTCAGCGCGCTACCGGGCGCTCAAGCGCGCGCTATCGGGCGCTAAAGCCTCCATCTGGGCGCTTAAGCGCACGGAGGCAGTAAGCATTAGCATTTCCAGTGTGGATGGGCGCTTAAGCGCGCAACAGGGCGCTCAGGCGCGCTAGCCTGGGCGCTCAAGCTCCCACTGGGACGTTTTAGCGCGCAGAGACAGAAGCATTTCCTCCTACAGTGGCTAAGGGCGCTTAAGCGCGGGCCAGGGCGCTCCAGCGCGCAATCCTGGGCGCTTAAGCCCCCACTTGGGCGCTCCAGCGCGAGGAGGCAGAATGCATTGGCACTCGCAAGGGCAGCAGGGCGCTTGAGCGCGCTCCTGGGCGCTTAAGCGCGCTGCCAGGGAATTCTAATTCCCACATTTCTCAAGTCCAAGCCTAGGGGAAAATGCATCCCCATTACATACCCCAATTGTTCATGCCCCAAAACTAAATCCTAGCCTCATCCAACCTCTCCTCATGAGATTTAGCTAGAATTTGGGCAGCATGACCTTTGTTTTCTCATCGTTTACCAGTTTAAACAAAGGGGTACCTAATTGATTTTCAGCCCAACCAATTCAACAACTCAATACATAACAAGCATGCATATATTGAATTTCAAGTAGGCATCATTTACATTACATATCCTTTACAAATCATAGAACTTAGCTTACAAAACACTATGATCATTCCCTTGGCTCCCATCAACAATAGGTGTAACCAAAGGCATGAGCATAGGCTAAGTTCATCCAATGAATCAAGACATACATATGACCATGGGCTTTCAAAATAAAATCCTATACATGTCAACTACAAAAGGCATGCATAAACTCAAAAGGAATGCTACATCTCATGCATAATCCAGATATGGCCACTTGCCACCAGAGGCTCCTGCAGCATCCTTACCTGAAAGGGGGTCCCCACAACACGGGGTGAGATATACGAATATATCCAGTAAACCAGGGGTCCTTGGAGCATCTCTCCACCCCACAGTTCCATATCAGTGTAATAGCAATAACAATAATAATGCAGTAAATACATATCTATGCAAAGTGCAATACATCTCCAGGAGAAATCCCTCGAGCTCTCAAGCTGTCCTAAGGAAACTCAGATGCAAATAGTCCTACTGGCCAGCTAACTACCAAGTATGATTTACGCATCGTCATGCCACATACCAACATAGGGAAACACCATCCTATGCCACACCAAATGCATACACATACGTATAACAAAGCATTACACTATTTTATTGCATTTATATACACAATCACAACCTCCACCCTTTCAGGGCTTGGTAGAACAGTCAAGGGAATTACACCCAAGGTCCGAAGGCTTACCTCAATGCTTCAGTCGACCTTTGTTCTTCACCAACAGTTTCAGCAATCAACTTTTACAAACATACACCTACACATGGTGTAATGCAATCAACACATTGCATCCAAGAGTATTTCACAATCAACCATCAATTACTCAATTCAAAGCACAACCCAAGTATGAGCTTACCAATTCCAATGAGCTATTCAAGCTCCATAGCTTGCTCCAATGGTTGATCACTCACGGTTGGTCCAAATGTCTCAATCCTAGACATCACAAGGATCCAATCAATCATTCAACTCACTAATTGTTCAACATGCTAGAATACTAACCAATCCAAGCATGAATTTTCCAATATCATGAACAATTATCAAATGATTATCTAGGCTCATTTCCACCGATTAAATGACATTCCTAGCATTTTCCATAACATGCTCTAAGCTCCATTCTTCCTAGAACATAGCTAATTCAACTACGTTTCATAAAAATCCCAATTTACTATTCACAAACCCTAACCCATGCAAATTTCAAGGAATCATGAGGTTCAAGGGCTTAAATCTTACCACCAATGGTTGCACAACAATGATGGAAGTGTTCCTCAAGCTCCCATGGAGGTAGAAGCCACCAAAACTCCAAAACCTCTCCAATGGCCGAATTTTTGAGAGGTAATATCTCTCTCCACAATGCTCCCCACTCAAAACAAAGCTAGGATTATGAAAGAGGGCGAGATTCTAAGCGATTTAGGCTTTTGAATCATCCAAAACCATCAAGGTTTGATCTCTCTCTCTCTTCCTCCCTTTTCTCCTTCCCTCTCTTCTCCCTCTCTTCTCTTCTCCTTTCTGGTTTCTGGCTCGACGAAGTGGGTGGGAAATGGGGGGTCATTTGGTGACTTAAGTCACTTAACATAGGTTAAGTGGCTCTAAGCGGGTACTGGTTCGTCTATCTATTTAACTCCAATAATTACCAAACTTTACCCAAAAGTCTGGAATATTATTCTAGGAATATTACTATTTTTATTTTTATATTTTGGGTACTTTTGACAGTACCCATTTATACCCCTTAATTTTCACTGAGTACACTTTTTAATTCCAAAGTGACTCAGATTCATTTCATTAAGCCTCATACTTAATTTCATTCACTAAAACATGTTTAATTAATTAATTACACTTGATTTCCTAATTAATTAATATGGGCTATTATACTTTTATTTGAACTAGGTGTAGTTTTAGCTTTAAAACTTAAATTGATTTCGTTATCTTGTCTGGTTTTTTAGGTTTGTGTAAAGAACCAATTCAACCCAACAGCTTAAACTTTTAAATTGAATATATCTCAACACGCCCCCTCACATGAGAGTCCACTGAGCTTGAAGAGTGGTCAATGCACAGGCCCACCTACCTGTGCGAAGAAAGAAATTCCACTAGAAAGAAAGTGGGTGACAGTGAGGATTGAACCCGGTACACTGAGACTCTGATACCATGTAAAGAACCAATTCAACCCAAAAGCTTAAGCTGTTGGGTGAAACTATATTAATGATTTTATACATCGGCGAACCCAGGTAGGGTCAAATGTCAGCAAGTGCGGACATAAAGATTGTGATTTTAGTTTTTTTTTTCTTTGTTGCAGGTTATTATTTGTCTCTTGGTTCAATATTTATATTATGAGTAAATACCTTTTAAGTCCTTAACAAAAAACACGGTCCTCACTTTAGTCCCTTATAAGAAAAATTAGTCTTGAGGTTCCTAAGAAATTCAAAGTGGATCAATTTAACTAAAATCGTGGTCCCTCACAAATTCAAAAAAGACCCACATTAGTCACTTAAAAGACTAAAATATGTCCACTTTGAATTTTATAGAGACCAGGTCACTAATTTTTTTTTTGTAAAGAACTAAAGTGGGGACCAAATTTTTTTGTTAGTTCATTAGCGAATTCATAACCTTGTACATAAAGTATTAATCTAAACTGTTTTTACAAAAAGAAATTTCAGAGGTGCTGCCCTTGAACCCTTTCCACTAAATGTGCGGAGATAAAGAATTTTCCATGGTCCGCCACTGGTTTTATATATCGAGATTTTGATTAATTCTTAGAATTAGACTTGATGTCTCAGTGTCATTCTCTAAAGTAACATTTATTTTTAGGTTGAATGTATCTCTTTTCCTTGTATAATGAATGAGGAGAACCAAGGCATGTCCATTAGATTATGTCTGGATCTTGAATCTGATTGAAGACCCTTTGTGCTTGTTCTGTTTATTCAACATTCTTTTTCTATCAACATCTTCGTAGGTCCCCAAGGGAACACACAAAACAGAAGTAGCAGGCACTGTGGGGCAGAAGTTGAAGGTATTGATCTGTTAGGCATCTCTCCTTCAAGCATCTAAATCTTGAACTTGCTAGTGACAGTCCCAACTACACCATGAGTGCTCTCAAGAGCCACAACCCTAATCCT